GTCATGTATGTTAACAGGAACGTGAATAATCTTTCTCATAAAGAAAAGGTTGTGCAACACAAAAGAGGCCTACTATCAAGCACATTTACTTGAAAAGCTCCCAGGTATGTAGTATTATCTGAAGTAGATCAACAGAAAGTGATTCATGGAAGGAGGCTCACATATTCGGAATTGGGGATGCCTCGGAGTGGTGGGATTGCAGCTGAGATCTGCTTTCTTTGTATATAATTATGTATTGTTTTTACTGTTTTACCATGCATTGCAGCAATTCAAAACAATTTTTTTTTACAATTCAGTCAATTGATTCTCTATTTCATCTTTAAAATTAATAATTAAAGAATTTGAAAATATTTTTGGAAATCAATACTCCTTCTCTCCTTATTATAGATTTTGAAATCTATTATAATGCAGCAACCAAAACCCACATTATGGGCCAGGCAAACAATCTTTATCATCTGTCCTGCTGGCAACTTGGTCTCCTAGTCCTAGTAGCCAGTAGGATGGAGCTCAGGAGACAAGAAACAGAACAGTGAGAAAGCTGAATGGGAGCTAATCTTGTTGACTTGGAGAATCCCAAGGCTTTGGGCTGGGCTGTGTCTTGCTTCCTGGAGGGAGAACTGGCACATGAATTGGGAACTGCAGCCTCAGGCAGAAGGACTCAGGAGTCCCACAGAAAGGCTCATGACAAAACTCATCACACTGCATTCTTTACATGCATGTAGTTTATTCTATGTAATATATATCTCAATAAAGCTATAAGAAAATGCAAGGTGAAACTTGGTGATCCTACCGGTTTTCATCTATGAGAGATACAGACATTGAATAGAATGATGGAATTCTGATTCAAAGGTGACAAATTAAGCACTCACATCTCATCTTTTAATTCACCCCAATCTGCCACCCTAAGTATCCAAGGAAATGATGAAAAAATGGTTTTAAAAGAGAATCAAACATAAAACCAAAGGGGGGCAGGCACTCAGGCTATAGCAGGAACTCACCTGTAAAAAATAATGTAAATGGTACTGACCTGCTCTAACTTCCTCTAAGGGGGAAGGAAAATCAAGATCAATAGCTCAAGGCTGAGTCCTATGATGTGGGGGTCAAACATAACTCATCCTTCCAACCAATTCTGACACCAACTGTAACTCCTATGGCACTCTCGACTCTTCTGCTGGGTTCGATAATTCATTGCAATGGCCATACAGAACTCACAGACCACACTCACAGATATGGGGTTTCTTAGGGAAGTAACAAGTTACAATTCAGCATCAGGAACAACACAGGATACAGTTCTTCAGTCAGGACAGCCTTCTTCTCAGCCATACCCACAGGCTGACTTCTCTCTAGCCCTCAGCCCTTTGGCCCCTCCACCTGGCCTCTGCCCTACTTGGGCAAGTGTTACAAAGCTCTTTAGCTCTGCCAGTAAGTGCCCCATCCTGGCAGTAAGCCTTGGCCTGAATGCTCTCAGCTCTCTCACTTCTTGGGTTGGCAAGCATAGCTCTGTTGACAAGTGCCCGAAGGCACCCCACTCCACCAGGAAGCCTCCTGCCAAGGATGCAACCCCCTTAATCTTGTCATATTCCTGATCTGATACAATGGCACAGGATCAGGCAGTGTTTTGTTCTCTTATACATAGGGTTGCTAGGAGTCAGAGCCTACTCAATGGCACCTAACAACAACAACATCCAACCCTAATCTTACTCTTACAACTAATTGGCTTATCATATCAGATCACCTCATAGAGGATGATCACATAACTGTCATATTACATCATTATATAACTGCCAAACCACTGAGAATCATGGCCAAGCCAAGTTGACACATATTTGGGGAGGACACAATTCAATCCATGACAAGTCCCTTGCCTGTATTAAATTGTCTTGATAGTACCTCTAACACTGTTCAGAGACATTCCACACATAGAACATACTAGACACTGTCTGAGAGCTCTGGTAGCATAGTGCTTAAGGCACTTGACTGCTAACCAGAAGGCTGGCAGTTCAAACCCATCAGCCACTCCTTGGAAGGAAGGTTGGGTAATCTACATGCCGACTGATACTACCTCAGAAACCCAAGGAAGGGTCACTACGTCACTATGAGTCAGGTCCAACTCGACAACACATAACAACAATGACAGACACTGTCTGGCTCTTTATTTGCTTTGACTTAGCAATATGTTCTGCTGTGTTTCATATTGGATTACATAGAGCTCTCTATGTTTAAATTTTTATCATGATATAATATGGATAACATAAAATTTGCTATTTTAGCAATTTTTAACTGTATGATTCAGTGGTATTAGTTATGTTCATGATACTGTGTAATAGTCACCACTATTTATTTCCAAAATGTTCTCATGATCCCAACCAGAATGTTGTTAGCAGCTGTCCAGTAAATTCCAACTCAGAAAGGAGACCCCATGTGTGCAGAGTAGAATAGGTTGTCAAGGGTGGTGCAGTGGTAAAGCACTCATTTGCTAACCAACAGGTAGGCAATTTGAACCCATCAGCTGCTCCATGGGATTAAGATGTGGCAGTCTGCTTCTGTAAAGATTTACAGCTTTGGAAACCCTGTTGGGCAGTTCTACTCTGTCCTATAGTGTCGCTATGAGTTGGAATTGACTTGACAGCAACAGATTTTGTTTTGACCTTTCACCAACAGATTGCTAGACCTGTCTTCCAAGGAGCCTCTGGGTGGGTTTGAAACTCCTACCTCTGAACTAGTAGTCCATTCATACAACCCAGGGATTTCTATTAAACAATTCCCCATAACCCAACCCCAACCCCAGCCTCTGGTAACCTCTAATGTACTTTTTGTCTCTATGAATTTGCCTCTTCTAGATATTTTACATAAGTAGAATCATACAATATTTGCCGTTTTTATTGCCCGGCTTGTTTCAATTAGTACATTTTCAAGGTTCACCCATGTCACAAAATGTATCAGAATGCCATTGCTTTCCACGGCTGAATAATATTCCATTGTATGTATATAAGGAGCCCCAGTGGTGCAGTAGTTAAGTGCTTGGCTGCTAACCAAAGGTCAGTGGTTCAAACCCACCAAATGCTCCATTGGAGAAAGATGTGGAAAGATCTCCCGTAAAGATTTACAGCCTTGAGAACCCTTTGGAGAAGTTCTATTCTGTCCCTTAGATTCACTGTGAGTCATAATCAACTCAATGGCAGTGGGTTTGGTTTCGCCTGGTATGCGTATATCCATTCCTCACTTAACAATATGGTTAGGTTCCAAAGACCAGGTTGTGACATGAAAATTGGTGTTATATAAAAATGGAGGATGAGCATATCAGATCACAAAATGGAAGATGACTACATCATTACATAACTGCCAAATTAAATCATTACATAACTGCCAAACCACTGACCATCAAGACCCAGTCAAGCTGACATATAACCTTACTCATCATAACCAGTATTACTCTCACCTCACTCCTTGGTGTTCATTACTGCCACACATACATCTTAGTGCACAAAATAGGTAATAGATTTTTTTTAGTATTTACGTAAATGTGAAATGTCAGAAAAAAAAAGATAGTGAGGAGTAGGTGATTATCATATTTTATTTATCCATTCCTTAGTAGGGAACTCTGGTGGTATACTGCCTAAGGCGTTTGACTGCTAACCAGAGGGCTGGTGGTTCAAACCCACCAGCCACTCCTCGGAAGGAAGATTGGGCAATCTACTTTCGTAGTGATACTGCCTCAGTAACCCAAGGAGGGGTTGCTATGAGTTGGATCCGACTCAACAACAGTGAGTTTTGAGTTTATCCTTTAGATGATAGACACTTGGATTGTTTCCACCTTTTGGCTATAGTGAATAATGCTACTATAAATAATGACATATGAGTCCAAGATGGTCAGAGGTGCTGGAGCGCTTTCAATTCTTCTGGATACATACCTAGGAGTAGAATTCTTGGGTCATGTGGTAGTTCTATGTTAAAAGGAACCTCTGTACTTGTAATGGCTGCATACTGGTCCATTTTATTAAGGCATAGGTGTCAGAAGCAAAAAAAAAAAAAAATACATACTCTATGATCCATTAGCATAAAGTTCAGCAATAGACAAAACAACTAACCTGTGTGTTAGTTTTTCAGGATAATGGTCACCTTTGAGGAGGAACAGGCAGTGACTGAGGGGGGTAGAAGGCTTCTGTAGTGCTAGTCATGTTCTGTTTCTTGAACTGTTACAGTTATACAAGTGTGTCCACATTGTAACAATTCACTGAAATGTGCACTTAATGTCTTCTGTACTTTTCCATATATTTTGTTTCACTTTTACAGAGTTTAACAGTCTAAAGGAAGAGGTATATAGAGAGGCAATTAACTATGGCTCAATTTGGAAAGTGAATTTATTATTGACTTATCTTGTACTGTTGGAGCAGTAAACCTCTGTATCTACCGGGGCTCTCTGCATGCTAATCCCAGCTCTGTCACTAGATCAAAACCCTAGGCAAGTTACATAAGTGTGAGACTCCACGGTTCTCTCATCTGTAAAACAGGAGTAATAATATCACCTACCTGATAGAGTTGTTGCAATGATTTAATATAATCTTTGTAAAGCGGGTAGAGGTGCCCTGCAAGCACACAGCAGGTGCTCCATAAATGCTAGCTACCAAACTATCAAGAAATTGCAGTCTTTACAAGGAAAAAGATTCTCCTCAGTACTCAATAAAGAAATGCTTTGCGATAAATATCGAGGGCCTGCCTCCTTGGAGAAGATGCGTCACTGAGGAACATGGTCAGAGGTGCTGGAGCGCGAGAAAACCTTTTCCGGGACAAATGAACCCCGAGTCCATCAGATTCTGGTGGAGCCAGACCCAATTTCTACCGCCCGCGTCGCCTTTAAGAGTGAAGCCATGACATCATCGCGACGCGGTGCAACCTACCTTGACAGCGCACAAGTTATTTTTCCAGGCAGCTCAATTGGCTCGCGGGTACCCAGGGGTCCCGCCCCCTCTCCCGCAGACGACCCGGGCGCTTGCCACCAGTCCGCCCAGGTGCCAGCGACAGTGGCCACCCCGCCAGCCCTCCGAAAAGCCCCGCGGGGCTCGCGTAGGCTGAGCGGCTCCGGGTGGGAGGGGCGTGGCGCCGCATCTGAAGCCGCCGTGGCCCTGTCCGCCCGCCCGCCCACGGGTCGCTTTTGCAGCCTGACTGCTGGGTAAGGCCGGCCCGGCCCGGCCATGGAGTCCTACGACATCATCGCTAACCAGCCCGTGGTGATCGACAACGTGAGGCCCGGAGCTGGGGGAGGGCGGGCGCCCCGCCCGCAGGGGCGCACAGGGCGGTGCTGCAGGGACCCCGCCCGTCTCTGCTAGTCCTCAGCGCGCCCACTTGGTCCTGCAGCTCGGGTCTTGGGCCACTTCCCCTCCGGTGCCGCCGAGTCTCCCTGCCCCAGGTTCTCCACCAGCCCGGCGCGGAGGTTTAGTAGAGGCAGCGGTCCTTGATCAGCATCTCAGGTGGGCTGGAAGGACAGCAGGGCCGCCTGGCTAGTGCACCTGCGCGTGAGGCCTGCGGACGCACCCCGAACTTTTCTCGCTTGAGAGTGGGGTCTTTGGGCAGGGTCGACCCCAGGCCCATTACCACTCTTTCGGCCCCCGACTCTGACGCTGGCCGCCCCTCCTAATGGAGGTGGAGGGAATTTGCCCTTTTGCACACTGGTCAGCTTTTGGAGGGGTTGGCCTGGTGACCTCCACAGGTGCACTACCTAGATGGCTGCATTCGAAGACAGGACCTGTAGGGTACACAGGCCCTACCTCACTCTTCTTCTGGGACTGGGTAAAATATAAGTCAGCCTCTATAGCCCACATAACCCACACGTACTTGGGTTATCTTCTTGTCCACTTTGATCTTCTCTTTAAGTCTGCTGGGCAGAATTCCACAGCCCGCATGGCAGTGGAGAAAATTCAGGGCCAAGCTTGCCAAGGATGCAGAAGCAGTTTGGGTTAACCTCAGAGGAAAAATTCCTGGCTTCCTCATGGACTTATCCAGCTGACGTTCTTTGGAGGTTCCTTGAAAGAGTTTCTGGCCACAGAGCTGCAACGTGGGAAGAAAAGGGCCGGGATCTTTAGCTGGGTACTTGAGTCTGGCAGTGAACCTTGGAATTTTTGATAACTCACTTCTGCTCTTTCTGGAATCTCTCTCCTCCCAAATGACTCCTTGGGATCCCTGAGTGGCTATCTTTTTTGGGTACTCATGTGAGCTAGCCTGAGTCACAACAGATCATATTTAATAAGGAGGCTGGAACTGAGTTTAGGGATATGTTGTCAGTCCATCCAGCAGGTCACAGGAAGGACCCAGTGACTTCCTTTCTTGGTAGACAAATAACTCAGAATAACCAGCAAGCCTGAGTTAAGAGGATAACCTATTGGTCCCTCTGGGGTCTAGTTCCTCTTCTGTAACTTGGAGATATTTATTTCTGACTGCACACCCATAGGGTGGGATGAAGATCAGTGGCAAGAAGGGTTGAGAAGCTGATCCTTTCATTGAATGGGAGATTTCTAGATGCTAGATTGCTTTTAAGATCCTAAGTCCAGCTTCCAGATAGAGCAGTGGTAGGACCAAGTTCTCCTTGTAGTCTTTTGGGAAGCCATTTGAGGAGAGGTAACTACTGTCCTCATACACCCAGTGATCTTCCCAGCAGGTCCTGGCTAGGGTCCTTGGATGTGTGTGTACATGTATGTGTGTGTGGGAGAGAGAGAGAAACTGTTGAAAAGCATCATTGAGGGTGTCTAGTTGGCTTTTGAGAATTACTTTTGCTATGAAATCCTCCTTCCTGGAGCTGGCCCTAGAGTATGCATAGGAGGGTGTACATCATTGTTTCTCAGTCTTGGCACTATTAATAGTCTGGGCTGGACAATTCTTGGTTGTAGGAGCTATCCTATGCCTTATAGGTTGTTTAGCAGCATCCCTGGCCTCTACCCACTGGATGCCAGTAGCAGTCCTCCCTCCCCTGCTCCTGAGTGTTGACAACCAAAAAATATCTCCAGACATTGCCAAATATCCCCTGAAAGTGGGAAAGGAGGCAAAATCACCCCCAATTTGGAACCACTGGTACACTTGTAAATGACCTTGCCCTCTTGTCAGTGTCTCTGGCTTCCTCACAGCCTTGACGGGGTGGCCAGCTCTCTCCTCTGTAGGACTCTGCCTTGACCTAGAGGGCAATGTCAGCAGCTAAACATTGTGTTTCCTTGCAGGGCTCAGGAGTGATCAAGGCTGGCTTTGCGGGAGACCAGATTCCCAAATACTGTTTCCCGAACTAGTAAGTGTTGCTGAGGCAGCAGTGCTAACCCTTTTGTTTGCTTCCCAGGAGAACATTGACACTGCGTTACAGCTCTCTCTTTTGAGACCAACTCTGGTCCCTACCTGTAAGGAAAACCATCAGATCTGTAAGGCTAAAGCTATTGAAGGCTCAGAAAAGATGAGAACAAGCAGACCAGTGCTCTGGGTTTCGCCCTCCTCTTTGTGGAGTCTCTCATTTTGGACCCTCTTGGAGCCAGTGAGGAGGAGAAGCCGCCAGCATGCCCCTGGGGACTAGGTGTGGCATCAGCAGCCAGAATAAAAAGGAAAGAACTCTAAGAGAAAATACAAACTCCAGGAGAAAAAGAGGGGAGTTAGGTACACACCCTTCTTCCCTGGAAATGTTTTCTCCAGAGCTGCTTTATTTTCAGGCTTTAGAAAATGTTCTGTTTCACTTGAGGCCTTTCCCTGAATGGTTCCAGGAATAAGAGAGGTTACACAAAAGACAACAAAACCTGCAGTTCTTCAGCCATTCTGGTTCACTGGAGAAACTTCCCTTAGGAATGCCTCTTTTTAAATCCTGAGGGCTTTGAAGTTGTGACATAAAGGGGGTCATCAAGGCCCTGAACATGGCCAGCTGCATCAGGAACCCCAAGCCTGGTCTGAGGACAGCCAGCACCCAATAGGGCTTCGACCTTCTTTTCTGAACTCTAAAACGCAACAATGCAACACACTGCCGTCGAGTCAGATCCAACTCATAGCGACCCCTCCTTGGGTTTCCGAGGCAGTATCACTACAGAAGTAGATTGTCCAACCTTTCTTCCAAGGAGTGGCTGGTGGGTTTGAACCACCAGCCTTCTGGTCAGCAGTCAAATACCTTAGGCACTAAGCCACCAGAGTTCCTTTCTGAACTCTACTTGGGTGTAATTAAAGTATCCTGTTAATGTGTGGGAACTTGGGTCAAATTTTGGAATGATAGCTTGACAGATCTCACAGTTTCCAAGAACTGAATCTCTGTTCTAGGAGCCCTGGTGGTGGGAAAGGGCAGGGTCAACTGAGTCAGAGAGAGGCACACAAGAGAGCCATGACTCAACTTCCTGGGATCATCTCCCTTGGTCTGTAGAGGGTGGTAGCAGCCCTGCACCCTGAAGTAGAGAGCTTGGGCTGAGTCACTATGGCCACAGAAGGCTGACCCTCTCTCTGCCTGGGCTTGACCAGCCATGAAGGCCTGGGATTCTGGAGCTCAGACACTCAGTCCTCTCTGGGAGGGGGGGGCAAGTCTGAAGGAGATGCCCCTTTCTTGCCCTGAACTTCCCTTCCTGCCAAGGCCCTCTCTACAGTCCCATATCCCACAAGCCTGGGTTCTAGCCTGTGCCCCAGAGCCACATCTTAATGCTTTGGAGGAGTTAGCCTCTTGACTGTTGAAGGTAGACTGTGGTTTTCCTAGATGTGAGCTCATCTGGGTCCCCTCCCCACCTTGCTGACTATATCTGTCCTTGCAGTGTTGGGCGCCCTAAGCACATGCGTGTCATGGCTGGAGCCCTGGAGGGGGATCTCTTCATTGGACCAAAAGCAGAGGTAACACCTTTGGAGCCTGCCTTTCCTGGGTTTGGGGTCCTCATATGTATAGGAACTGTTGGTCAGAGCTACACCTCTGAGAGGGGCCCTGGGAATCTTTAGGGTCATCTGCTGGGTGTCACGCTGGGCTTCTCTTTCATACTCCAACACTGATACACTGTGTTACCTCCCCTCTCTACAAATATTTCTTCCCTCTGTGAGATGAGGTAATGGGTCTTGTTTTGGAGAGCACAGTTGGACCAGTTCATGTCCTTGTCTTTTAGAAGCTACTTGGATGCTACAGAGGAAAGAACTGATTTAAGAGTCAGTATCACCTGGGCTTTATGACTGATCACACGAGAGCCATGGAGGGCCTCCTCTTGAGCTCTAGTCTGGGCAATTTGCCTAGAGGCTGCCCAGCCCAGATTAGGCCCTCAGGAGAGGAGCGATTTTGTGGGGAGTGGATGATAAGCTTAGGTTGGGCAAGTGCAGTTTAGGCACCTGGGGAACACAACATAGGGTGAAAGGGGTAGGGGAGAGGGCATAGTTCTGGGCCCAGAAAGGGGAGGCATGATCTAGAGGTGCAGATATGGGCCTTTTAGCAGATGGTGTTAGTAGGAGCCTTGGTAGTGGGTGAGAGAGGGTAGGTGGTACTTGTGGAGAAGGGGCCTACTGAGGGGACTCAGAGGGCAGGTAGAGGCAACATGTTTGTAAGGGAAACTGGTGAGGACTGGCCAAAGAGCTGGGAGGAGAGATAGCAGAGGCAGGTCACAGCCATCCGGGCTGCAGTGTTGTGAGGAGCAGTGGACAGCAAGGCTCTAAAGAACAGGGAAGGCAGTAGGTAAGTTGCAAGAGGAGGCCATGTTGGATTTGGCCACAAAGAGTCCTCTGGTGGTGCTGACAAGAGCAATATCAGTAAAGTAATGGAGATGGAAATGGGTAGTGTGAGAGGAGAGTGTGGGGGCAGAGAATGTTGGCAGTGAGTATAGAGAAGTCCGAGAAGCATGGCCATGAAAGGAAGGGGAGAGGTGGTTATGGAGGGGGCTGTAGGATGGGAGGGAGCACATCTCCACCCTAGCTGGTCCCCAGACAGTTGAAGCTGGTGAGGCTCTGAGTTCAGGACCCTCTGCAGAGCAGAGAGAGAGCCAATAAGTAGTAGGTGGTTTTATTCAAGGACAGATTAAGGGGGCAACTCCCAGGATGGCAGAAAGCAGTTACTCTGTGAGGGATTTGAGGCCACATCTGGCCTTTCCACTCCCTCTGCCTAGGAGCACCGGGGGCTGCTGACCATCCGCTACCCCATGGAGCATGGCGTGGTGCGAGACTGGAATGACATGGAGCGCATCTGGCAGTATGTCTACTCCAAGGATCAGCTGCAGACTTTCTCTGAGGAGGTGTGATGGCCGGCCCCTCCTGCCTGGCCCTCTCCCCTTTCCACTGCCTTACCAGCTGGAGCTTTCACATCACCCCTCTGCATTTTGAGAGGACTGCTGCTGCACATACTCAGGCAGAATATTCCAGAGAGAGCTAGACCTTTGGGGGATTAGCCTCTGGCAGAGAACTGGATGGGGTTCTTGGGAAGAACAGCAGGCTGCAGCTACGTATGCTTGCAGCCAGGGGTTTTGACTCTCTAGAAAGATTCCTTTTAGGGTCTAGCTTGTTGTCTCTGCCTGTGTCCATGACTCTCCCCTCTCTTTTAGCATCCTGTTCTTCTAACGGAGGCTCCACTCAACCCGAGTAAGAATCGGGAGAAGGCAGCAGAGGTGTTCTTTGAAACCTTCAATGTGCCGGCTCTGTTCATTTCCATGCAGGCCGTGCTCAGCCTGTGAGTGCTCCCTAAGCCCTGTGAATGGCCTGCTATTTTGCTCCCTATGGTCCCCATCCTCCCAGTGACAATGACCAAGTGTCTGACTTCTCTGTCAAAATAGCCATTTGGTGCCTAATCCTTTAGGGAATCCCTTGTGTTCCTTGATTACACTAGATAATGCTGGTGACCCAGGGTTCCTTCCAGGGGTGAGGAGGTCTCCGTACCTCAGTGGCTGAGGTGAGGAGATACTGACTTGATGATAGGTATGCCACAGGACGCACAACAGGAGTGGTTTTAGACTCGGGGGATGGGGTCACTCATGCTGTCCCCATCTACGAGGGCTTTGCCATGCCACACTCCATCATGCGAGTGGACATTGCTGGCCGTGATGTCTCCCGTTATCTCCGGCTGCTACTGCGCAAAGAAGGTGTCGACTTTCACACCTCAGCTGAGTTTGAGGTTGTCCGGACCATCAAAGAGGTGACTTGGGGCAGGGAGGCATGAAGGAGATCTGGAGTGGGGAATGGGAGATGGTGGACCCAGATGTGAGGTTGAGCCCTAGGCTTTAGGTTTCCAAGTTGGAGCCTTCTGAGGGTTGTATTCCTGCCTATTACAGCGTGCCTGCTATCTGTCCATCAACCCCCAGAAGGATGAGGCTCTGGAGACAGAGAAGGTGCAGTACACCTTGCCAGATGGCAGCATGCTTGATGTAAGTTACTAGGCCTGGCAATGGGGTTGGTACCTGGTAATGTTTGCACCTGGGGTGTGGGGAACTCCAAAGGAAGAAGCAGCCTGGGTAGCCTGTCTGCCTCAATTTTGTATTCCAAAGGTGGGGCCAGCACGATTCCGGGCCCCAGAGCTGTTGTTCCAGCCAGATCTGATAGGGGATGAGAGTGAGGGGCTCCATGAGGTGCTGGCCTTTGCCATCCATAAATCTGATGTGGACCTTCGTCGGACACTCTTCGCCAACATTGTGCTCTCGGGTGGTTCAACACTTTTCAAAGGTACCATAGCTTGGGAGGAGGTGACAGTAAGACATGGGAGGACAAGAGGCTGCTGGACTCTCATAGACCACACCCCCACTTTCTTGGAACCTGAGACATGGCCCGTTTTCTTGTGGGTGTTTGGTATTCAAGGGACTTTTTTTAAATAATAGGATTTTTTGTTTTTGTTTTTAATTTGTGAACAAGTGATATGTTCATACAAATTCTATAATGTATGAAGTAAAAAGTCTATCACCATTGTCCTCGGCCACCCAGTTCTCTCCATGTTGGAGTTACTTGTTTTTCATGTATCTTTTCAGTGTCTAAAACCAAAAAACCAAACTCACTGCCATCGAGTCAAATCCAACTCATAGTGACCCCTCCTTGGGTTTCCGAGGCAATATCACTACGGAAGTAGATTGCCAAATCTTCTTCCAAGGAGTGGCTGATGGGTTTGAACCACCAGCCTTCTGGTTAGCAGTCAAGTGCCTTAGGCACTACGCCACCACAGCTCTTACATATACTAAGCAAATATGTATGCCCCCTACACACACAAATTATAGCACACTCTACAAATTCTATGCTTTGTATTTTTTACTTAGCAGTTTTCTTAAAGATCTTTCTTTATCAGTTTACAGTGAATAGCCCCATTCTTTTACATAGCCTGGTATTTTACTGAATGGATGGACCATTTAATGGTGTTATGTTGAGGTAGTTGAAATAATTTCTAATCACAAAGATGCTATAGTGGACAACCTTATACATCCATTATTTCACATGATGCAAATATATCTAAAAAATGGATTCCTATTAGTGGAACTGCAGAGGAGTGGAATCTGTGCCCAGTATAAATGCTGGCTACATGCATTTGTATTTTGACTGATGCTGCTAAAATTTCCATCCCAAGAAGTGGTACCACTACACTCCCAGTTATGGTGAATTTCTCCAGTGTTTCACCAACATTGTGTGTGTGTGGCCTTTGCCAATCTGATTGGTTAAAAATGGTCAATGTTTTCTCCTCATTTGTCTTTTGACTTTGTTTATGGTGGTTTTTGGCTCATGGAGTGTTTAATGGGGAAGAGTGTGGTGAGTCAGGTAAAGCTATATGACTCAGGGCTTCATCTCATACTGCCTCTGAAGAATCTAGGCCTACTTACAGCCATGATGCTAGACCTTTTCTATCCTTAGGAGAGCTCACCCATATCCTTAATCCTAGAAAGAACTGCTGAAAGAGAGGGCGGTAGCAGCTGGGTGGGAGGCACCAAAGGTTAGATATGGGAGAGCTAATGGTAGGGAGGTGGGATGTCGACCACAGACTTGGCTAGCCTTGTGTTCACAGGCTTTGGTGACCGATTACTAAGTGAAGTGAAGAAGCTTGCCCCAAAGGATGTCAAAATCAAGGTGAGGTTTCTGCGAGGCCCCTTGAACAGGGGAGGAAGAGGCAAGTGCAGCATCCAGACCCACCTGTCACTTTTACTGTCATCCGAGCCCACCCAGCCCTGCTTGTATTCATTCATTTTCTCCCAACTGATGTGCTTGCTGTCCCACCCTGGACCTATGGGAAATGCCCCCAAGGCAGGAAGGGTGGCTGCTGTGTGGGAATGGGGCAGTTATGTTGGCACTTGCTCCCTCTAGATCTCAGCCCCTCAGGAACGGCTGTATTCTACGTGGATCGGGTGAGGCGGGGCTCAAGGGGAAGGCTTTGGGAGAAGACCATTTTGCCCTGCACACATCTCCCAGGGTTGGCCCCGGACAGTTGGAGGTGGGGGGATTTCCCCACCAGGTAAGGGAAATGGAGGTCCAAGTGCCCACGGTGGGAAGTCCACAAGAATAATATCCCTCCCTCCTCACAGTGGTTCCATCTTGGCCTCACTGGATACTTTTAAGAAGATGTGGGTATCCAAAAAGGAATATGAAGAGGATGGTGCCCGTGCTATTCATCGCAAAACCTTCTAGTGTCCAAGGGAGCTGTTGGGAGAATGGGAGGAAAGGGGAGCCAGTGCCTTTAACCCTTTCTGGTCTGGGCTCACATACAAGGTTTAGGGCCCCTTGCATGCCCTGAACCCCCAGCAGGTGGTACAGCAGTGCTCCCTGCCACACTCCCCTTCGCACACACATACACACACATACATACACACACTATTAATGTTTACCTTCATGAATGGGATTCTTGAGCTGGGGCATAGGAATTGAGCCCAGCTTTGAGATATCCTGGGTGTCCCCCTTGGCAGGGCCACCTAGGCCTGTGGTTCCTTACTCTGACCCTCATGGGGACTGCTGCTTTGCATTCCAGGGCCAGATGTCTGGGTACCTCTGTTACTCCCCTTGGGGACTAGGGTGGAAGAGGAGGTGAAAAGTAGCTCCCTACCAATGTGTCACTGCTTCTTTTGGCCTCTGGAGCTATTTGTGCTTCTCCTCTTCCTGACCTGACAGGGTAGCCTCGAGGGCCCCACCTAAGCCATTCCTGACCCTTTCATACTCTGTTCTTCGGTCCTCCTGGGGTGGATGCCCTGGTGTAGTGCTGAGTACCAGGCAATCTTCTGTCCCCAGTGAGAGTGTCTGGCCCAGGATCAGACCCTTTAGACCCAAGGCAGGGATGCCAGGGTTCAGGCAATCACAGTTTGTTGTGCTCTCTCTTACAAAGCACGCTATTGACTTGCTGCTCCCTTTCCTTTCCTTTCCCCCCATACCCTGGACAGGAAAGGGTTAATGGTCTTCATTTGTTGAAGGGAAGCCACTTAATCAGGATCCTGACCTGGAGAGGGGGAGCATTTCCTTCTCCCCCCTCCTCCAAGAAAGGTCTTCACTCTGCTGTGGCCAGGACCTCATAACCCTCTACCACAAGTTCATCCCCCCAGATATGTACAATAATTTAACACAGTTGCCTGAAAAAAAAAAATTTTTTTTTTTTTTTTGTAAATCATTATAGTAATATTATGGACAAAGCTCAGTGTGTAGCTGTTTTCTTGTGATTCTTTGTGCTATTTGCTTTTTGCTTCTCCATCCTTGGGGACTCTCAAAGAAAGGATTGGAGAGAAAGCAGCCTGGCACTGACTCTGGTTCAACTGGAGGTTTCTGTGGTTGGCAGGGCAACATGTGTGGTACAGGAAGCCCCAGGAGACTGAGCTTCGAACTTGGCAGCAGAATTTCCCAGCTTCATTACCTCCCTGTTAAAATCCCCCAGGGAAAGCAGAGAGCTCTGCCCCATTGGGCTGCCTTCATATGCCTTGTGACAGGATGGGCAGGGCCTCATTCCAGACAGTGCTGGGCCTTTAGTGCACCTGTGTCCCTATCCTTTCTGTTTGAACACCTCTCCATGCCCAGCTCAAAGGTGGCCAAGGATGACAGCATCATCTGATGATGCAGGCTTATCAGTTCAGACAAGTTGGGTGGTCTAGAGGGTGGAGAAAGCAGGGAGGACAAAGGTTATAGAGATGAGCTGGGCTGTAAAGAAGCAAAGAGAAAGGGCAGGGAGGTAGAGGGAGCAATGAGAAATGAGAGAGTTTGGAAAGTGCTCTTCATTAAATGTTTGAGCACCTACAGGTGTTGGGGAAGGTGCCAAGTGTGTGAGGCCAGTGATAAATAAGATAGAGCCCTTGCCCTGACAAATTTAAATGTCAAGGAAGGAAGACAACAGGCCATTTCAGCACAAAGTTGTGAGGGCCAAGAGGAAAGGCATCTAACTCAGCACATGGGATGGGCTGACTTGTGAAGCTCCAGGAGGGATTAGTCAGATAGGGGAAAGGTACTCCAGGCAAGGTAAGAGCTCAAAGAAATGCCTGGGGCCTGCAGGGCTGGAGAGAAGCAGATGGGCCTGAATGGTAACAAGCCATTAGGGAAGGGTGAGTGGTCTCGTTTGGCTATAGTATGAGGTGAATGAAGATGAGAACAAAAAAGGTAGCATGTGGAAGCCTGCCAGAAGGTGGTTTTTTGTTCATTTGTTTGTTTTAGCTATGTCATGGGTGATGGGTGGCTAGCTGCTAACCAAAAAGGTCAGTGGTTCAAACCCACCAGCCACTCCTTGGGAGAAAGATGTGGCATTCTGCTTCCATAAGGGTTTATACCCTTGGAGATGCTCTGGGGCATTCTACTCTGTCCTATAGGGTCTCTCTGAGTCTGAATCAACACAATAGCAGTGGGTTTTTTGGTTTAGGGAGAGCACAGGACCAAGGAAATAAGGTAGGGGGGAAAGCAGCCTGCTCTGCATTGGGCATTTTATAAAGTTTTATGTTCACAGAGCAGTTAGCCTGTATTTGCCCTCAAAAAAATCAAACTCGCTGCTGTCAAATTGGGTCCAACTCATAGCAACCCCTCCTTGGGTTTCTGAGGCGGTATCTCTACAGAATTAGATTGCCCAGTCTTCCTTCCAAGGAGAGCCTGGTAGGTTTGAACCACCAGCATTCAAGGGGCAGACAATTTACACAGCCCTTCATTAGGGTGACCCCCAGACCAGCTCTTCCTCCAGGTTCTGTTCATGGTACCACTTTCTCCCAACCACACAGGTTTGAGACCTTGTTATTTTGATTCTACCTTACCTCTTCCACATTCTGTCAGTTCCTAAGTTTTATTGGTTGGTCTGCAGTGTTTTTCCCACCTACCCTTTTCTGTGACCACCGTTACCACTCCAGCTCATGACCACAGCTTCATGCTCCCACCTAACCCATTTGCTCTTGAACCTAAAGCACAGATAACATCTGCCACTTCTTACTCCAAAATGTCAGATGGTTTTCCACTATCTGGTGAAAGAACTAATCAATGTGATGCTGGTAAAATCACCTTCATAAACTACACATTGTTGCATTTGATTCAAGCTCTTTAGGATCTGTTCCTTCCCTGTTCTAGCCTTACGTATCTCTATGCTCTAATTTGCCTGCCAGCCTGCACTCAAGCTGTTCTTTTTGCTGGAAATTATCCTTTATGTCTGTCAAAATTCCATCTTTTCAGGCAAACCACAATGCAATATCCTTCCTACTCATTCTCCTAGCAGGATAACATGTTGGCTCAGGCTCTGCCAGATTTCTTACTTGAAAAAAAGTTACAGATGAGTAAGGCTGGAATGAACTGGTGTTGGATTGGAATCAGAGGTATCAGTATGAACTCATAGTCTTTAATATATATACAGATAAATAATGAGTATGCATCTGTGTATGAGTGCAGGGGTCGATAGGTTTTCTTCCTCTGTCTACTGAGAGGGCCTAGAAGCAGTGACACCCCAGTAGCAATGAGCACATAGAGTGTCCTGATCTTGATTTATAAATACCAATAAATATAAGGAACCAGAGCTCCTTGGAGATACTTTAGAGCTGCAGGAAAAATACAAGATGAGCCTGGAATATCTCATGGTGCTATAATAATAACTTCAAAAAAAAAAAAAAAAAGAAAGGGAGTTCATCAAAAAGACAGGAGCCAATTTGAAGGAGCACCTGATAGTCAAAGCCATAATGAATATAAGCCATAGAATAAAATACTCATGAGTCCATACTGATGTAAACAAATAAATGTATACATGGGGGTGAGAGGACAGCTATTCCTTATAAGAGAATTTCAGTTAATAAATGTGGAAGGACTAATGGAAAATGGAAATCACCATTAGGCAAATACCACAGTAATTGTTGCAGTCATAAGACTCACCAATGGATGTAAAAATTAGTGGGCAAAAATAAGGGCATTTACATTTCAAACTATCTCCCCATAAGATACTTAATACAAAAGGAAAAATAGCTTTGTAGTGGAGAAATCTGGTAGACACCACCTTCATCAAATGACAAAATCAGCATTTCTAGTAATGAGTCACATTAACATCGTGTTTCTCTGGATAATGATGCACTGAGAAAGGCTCAAAGTCACCTCTAGTTTTCTTCCATAATAACTTCAATCTAACCATGAGTAAACAAGCCCAAATTGGACATTTTATAGACTAGTTAGACTTACCAAAAGTGTCAAGGTCATGAAAGACAAAAGACTGAGAAACTGACAGATTGGAGGGGGTGAGAGACAGGACAACTGCAATATGAGATCCTGGATTGGAAAAGGACTTCAGTGGGAAAGCTGACAAAATCCAAATATTTGTCTGTTGGTTAGTTAATAGTATTGTATCAATGTTCACTTCCTGGTTTCAATAATTGTACTATGGCTATGTAAAGTACTGACCTTAAGGGAAACTGGGTGAGTGGTAAACAGGAACTCTACTATTTTTGCACCTTTTCTGTAAGTCTATAATTATTTCAGAATAAAAAGGAGAAAAAAGCTCAGGCTCTGGTGCCCAGTGGTCTCGATTCACAATCCTGCCATCACAATGTAGAATTCCTGCACAGTCCCGAGCAAGTCACTTACATGTCACTGTTGCTAGATTTCCCCATCTAATACAGGATGATAATAATAGCACCTATCTCATGGGTTTGTTAACAGCCTGGAAGATAAGCCTGGAACTCTTTGTGCCAGAAAAGAAGTGCTCAGAGAATAAAAGGGTCATTTCAAAAGGCCCCAAGAGACAGCTTGGACAGGTTCCCACTGGCCAAATTTGGAACAAATTAAGCATCAAAAACGATGACAGTAACAAATTATAACCTACAGAATGAAATAGGAAAGAATAAGTTTCAAAGTATTGATATAGTCTCAAAGTTTTGTTGTTGTTGTTATTTGCCGTTGAGTCGGCCCCGACTCAAAGCGACCCCTCCTTGGGTTTCCGAGGCAGTATCACTACGGAAGTAGGATTGCCCAACCTTCCTTCCGAGGAGTGGCTGGTGGGTTTGAACCGCCAGCCTTCTGGTTAGCAGTCAAGTGCCTTAGGCATTATGCTACCAGAGCTCCCAAAGTATTGCCCCATAAAATATTTACTAATAACTAAAGAGTATCATAGTAGCTAAAGCACTTGACTGCTAACCAGAAGGCTGGCGGTTCAAACCCACCAGCCACTCCTCGGAAGGAAGGTTGGGCAATCCTACTTCCGTAGTGAT